TTAATGTGACACTTAACCAAAATGCGGACTTTGTTTTGACCCGGACACGGCCAGACTAGCAGTTTACCAAAGTTAGAAACAACCTTATGGGTATAATGTTTAGTCTGATAATCCATAGGGAATGCAAGAAACATAATCCAGACCTCATATTCAAAAGCAGGCATGCACATATTGATACTCTCATCATGCGGGACTAAAGATAAAGTAGAGTCATCAGTCAAAGTGTGAGTCCCTTCCCTAATCACAGCATCTCTGCTCCCCATATCCGCAAACACCACACAACCAATGCCGAGCGGATAGATGAAATCATCAAGCAAATCATACTCTAGATAGACCGTGATAATGCGGCAGACTTCAGCAAGCCAGAACTGCTTCTGATGATCAGGAACGGGAGGATCGATGGCGTACCTATCATGCTTGAGCGAAGGATCATCCACCACCATGACATGGCGCTGGACTCGATGAGCAGGGCCCCGGTCGAACGTCGATCCGTCCGAAGCAAATGCAAAAGGGTGCACCGGGAAGTTCGCCATATCACCAGCTACCGGAGCGCGAGAAGGCGGAGTGATTAGAGCTGCCGGCGAGGAGCAGAGAGATTGCTTGGGTGAAGGCGATGATGGCAGGGGTGGTAAGCTCGAGGGAGACGTCGGCTCACCCGATTGGGGTTTTTAGCAGGTGGAATTGACTGCCCCCTGATCAAGGAGTCGTATCGTCAAGCAATGGGAGGTAGCCACGTCCAAAGAGCGTGGGATTTCTATTTCCGGACCCAAACCCAGCGTGACCTCGTATCCCGAACTACACGGGCCATACCAACAACCATAGAGTTACCAACCGTAGCCGAATCAGAGTTACTCTGGGGTAAGATCTCCTCAGATTGTGTTGTGTGAGGCCTTTTTTGTGCCCAAACCAGATGAGGGAAACGATTACACAAATTAGGCTTACAGGCCTCATGGCCCAGATGGCGACAGAGATGGCATCGATGAAGCCCAGGGCAAAAGGTGGCCCTGTGATCAGTCGCGGAACAAGCCTTACAGGAGTAAAAATTAGACTTAGGGCCCATTCTGCATGGCTCATGACAAGGGGACTGCGGACGTTGATGAAACATCATTTTTGGCAAAGATGCCAAGCAAATGCAATTCCCAGAAACATCCCCACAACTTTGACAGAAAGAATCAGTGCAGTTGTTTGCCAAATGACCAAGCCTATCACAAACGGAGCAGCGTTTTAGCCGATTATATATATAATCCTTGGTTGGTACGGAAGATATTTCCATCATCAGCTTAACACTCTCATTATCGTAACCAGCCTGCCAACCATCCAAAATAGATAGCAGTTTATCATCCGGAATAGACTCCCATAAACCCTACGTAAACAAACCTCCACAAAAAGACGACGGTGTAGCGGGAATACCCGATGAGATCGGTAGAGATATGGCCCCAATACGAAAAAGATTATGATTATCCTAAGAATCCGGAACTAAAAAACTGCCAAAAGAAATCTCCGGTAAAGGAAGCTCGCCGGAATGTCTCTCCGTCGGCGACGAGATCAGACCCAATTTTTCAAATACGAAGATTGAGGCAGGTTCAATAGCATCATTGCACTTTGATGAAATCCACTTAGACTTGATAGCCAGACTAGGTGATGAAGCCAATCCATTAAGCTCGGTGTCCGCATGCCAAGAACCAACCGGGGGGTGAGAGATCACACCTCGATGAAGATGAAAATGGCAAATGAAGTCCGGCCAGATACGGTCTCGTAGGCCAAAAATAAAGTGCCCCACACGATTAGATGCCACCGAGAACCAAAAATGACGATCACCCAAACGAGTAACTTTGAACCCTTCACTGATCCCTCCAATACATGATTGGAGAGCCAAACCAACAGAATCCTCCGAGAGGGGGAAAGAAGTCGAGGATAAGGAAACCTCAAGGAAGAACTCCTTGGAGTTAGTGTTGGGGACGAAATGAACCGTAGATCCGAAGCGTGCACGCACCTGTGCCTCGACCCTAAGGTCGGGGGAGAAGTCCCAATGGAGGAGGCCATCCATTGGGGTCGTCGGTAGGAGATCCTAGGGTAAAACCCTAGAATCGCCATGGGAGTCGCCATCATCGCCTTAAAGAATCAAGGAAAATAAGTGTTGTACGAACTTGTGATGGCCAACACACAAAGTGGTCAAGTCCTTCAATCCCAAATCCCACCAAAGCAACTAATAATATGGAGTTACAAGGGAGTAAGGAAAATGAGGAAATTAACAAATGAATCCCACGATCTAGATCCAATAGCTTCTCCTCACTAAGAGGAGAGATTGATTGGTGGAGATGTAGATCTAGATCTCCTCTCTTTCTTTTCACTTGAGAAGGAGCAAGAAGTATTGGAGGGATTGAGAGATGGAGAACCCAAAGAAGATCAACAATGGAGGAGATAGAATTTTCTAAAAGCTTGGGTAACCATTTGGGAAGAAACCCCCTTAAATAGGCCCCCCGGAAACTCAAACCGTTATGTGCAGAAACATGCAGGGGAAGTACTACCGCTACTTGGGATTCAGTTAGCCATTAGGAAAAAATCATGCAAAGGTACATGGGCGATACTACCGCCCAGCGGCACCAGTAGTATCGGGCCATTACCACTGCATAACCGTTATATATAGCCCGAGCGGCTCTTTCGACGGTAGTGCGAGCGGTTCTTCAATCGGTAGTACCGCTGCAGGAGGGAGGCACTACTACCGCTAACGAGGCCGGTACTACTGCTCCTGGAGAAGACAGTTGAAACATTCGACGTCATAACAAGCATAACTTCTGCAAATGAAATCCAATTCAGATGAAACCAAGTTTGTTGGAAAGATAACAAGCTGATGGCTCTATTTTATACGCATTTTTAGAGCTCATTTGTTGCATATTATCTTTATATATCATGTCCCATTGAACCAAATGCAAGTCCATTATGCATGATTTCCGGTTTTCACTCTTTTCATTGTGTGCATTGCATAGTTAGTGTTTTCATTTAGTTTTCTTTGTTTTGTCGTGTCTACAGGTATTTTGAAGCAACCTAGGACCAAACACGATAAAAATACGAAAGATGGTTTCAATACGGAGGACATCCACGCACCAGACTTACGCATTTTGGAGTGTCAAAAATGGCTTTTTTCCAAAGTGTTGAAAATCAATATCTAGTACCAAAGATGCCTCGGCGTCATTCACGCATTTCCAACGAGCCCAAGAGCGTTAAATCAGATTTTGTACGAAGAAACGGCGACCAATTTACATAAGGAGTCTAGAGCATCCGACGGCGCACGGTACGCCCGGAGTGATCGTAGCGCCGCTCGTACCACACCTAGAAAAGCCCGAAATGGCTCATGTTAGACGAGATTCTTCATGGATTTTGTCTCTTTTTTTTCACGACTTCCTTGACTTCCAAAAGAGGTATTAGAAGAGGATTTGGCTCATCTAGAGCCATAGTCCTGGGAGGGAAAAATTCTCTCTCGGGCATATCCTGCTATCTAAATAAAAAAAGAAGGCGGAAGTAAAAGAGAAACGAAACTAACATATCCTACAACAAAAGGATTGCATCGCTAATCGACAAACAACCAATTGGAAAAATCGAACCGAGGTTTGGGTTGTTTTGTCGGCGGAACCAAGGGAAAGCCAGTACATTCAGCACGTGGGGAGATAAGAACAATCTTGAAGGTGTCGGCCAATCAACTGAGTCCCGTGCTAAAACCCTCTTTGAGCAAAGGGAGATGAGTACTCGATAGGTACATGTTGTCGAGGGCCTAGTTGCTCTTTCTCGTCTATTGCCGCCGTGGAAAATAATTTAAGTTGCAACCTCCCGTGGAGGCAGGAAGACATATCGATGGCGCCATGAGTAAAAACAATTGAAAGAAATAAAATGAAAGAAATATAGGCGTACACTCTTTCATCGTAGGATAAATATCGTTATTCTCAAAGTATGACCTAAGGAGCCTACCAAAACATTTTACATATATTTGAAAACAGTGGTAATAACTTTCATTGATCTTACATTAAGATTCATGGGAATATTTTCTTTTTCTTTTTTCTTTTTCTCTTTATGCTTGATTCACTCACTTAGATATGCAATAACTAAATCACATCTAGATGTGCCCTAGACACACCCTAATACTTTTTAGAGTTCAGTTTTTTCAACCAGATTTCAACTTAGTGCGCGACAATCACAACGAAAGTTCTGCGCTGGCTTCTCCAACTTTTACATACGATCTTCTCAGATGGTGTACTCAATTCTGATTTTTCATACTCATCATACTCTTGATATGTAAACAGAAACATGACCCCCTCTAAATTTCTGGAGGCATGTTATTAGCACACAACTATGTCATATGCCTTCAGCGGCTCAAGTTTCAGTTGTACCTCAACTTCCATGAGATGAATCACTCCATTTGTAATCTTGGAATATAAAAACCCAAATTGTGCTAGCCACTACACGTAACTTATCTTTTGCGAAGCAACGAGAAGACATCCCAAAATAGAATCAATAACAAAACAAGCATGCCGCCTTTGTACTACAGATCCATGTGAAACATTGACCATTACTACACTGATCCATACCAGAATTGCCACACGGAGGTAGCAGGCAGATATACATGTCTTCAAATCCCTTGCGTAGTAAAAAGGGTTCACAACATCTCTTAGAGAGTAGAATCAATGAAACCAAACAGCAAAACAGGGAATCTTGGGGCCGATGTGTGCGGATTACAAAACAGCTATAGAGTAGAAATTATGCAACAAGAATTACAGTACACTAGTGGTGCCTACTATTAAAGTTTCATTCACCAGATGTCGTCCAAAGATCATCATTAGACTGTCATACAGAAAAAATCATAGCAGTAAAGGTAGAAAAGGCAATAGAAAGTCCAGACAAGTGGATCTAGGTTGGATAACGCACAGCCTTGTCCAATGATGCACACTAAACAACTTAATGGCTTCAGCCGCAAATTCATACTGAAAATTTTGGAGACCACTTCATCACTAGGCGCCGAGACAAATTGCCTTCATCAGGGCATCTGAGAAGTTGCTGGAGTAGTGAACCGACTTGGCAACACCCCCCGCCCCTTGCAGAGAGACCTTACTACAACAATCGATAATCAAAGACTCTAACTTATGTGCATGTCCCAGTTCAGCCACTCCAACATCAGTCACCTCATGACACAACCGAAGTGTGAGATTACTCAAGCGTGGGGTCTGTCCAATGAAGCGCATCCCAGCATCAGTTACCACTTCACACAATATAAGCTCGAGTGTCTCCAGGTATGGTGAGGATGACAGGACCTTCATCCCCTCGTCATCAAAGAAGTTGGCAGTATTTAGCACGAGAACACGAATAGGGCAGGACTGAATGAGCACCAGAAAACCCTGTTGTGTGAATCCTATTTCTGATGGCCAGTCAGCAGCACATCCTGTAAAGCTGAGGTCTACGATCTGAAGCATTGGACAGTTGAGGGCTAGAGCGTAAAGGCTGTTATCAGTAAATGATGTCCTGGTTTCACAATAGCTGATATCACTAGAGTACCTCTGCGGGTCGAGCCAAAGTGAGATGCTTTTAAGGTTGCTGCAGCTCCGAGATAATGCAATCATGTCATTGTCATTTAGGGCATGAACATACTCAAGGCAAAGCTTCTCCAATGCTTTACACTTCCCTAGGACAACACGAAGCCCTACTTCTGGCCAAGTTTTAATATGCGCCAATCTTAAATCCTTCAAACTCTCACAGCAGAAATCATATATATCCATGCTGTGAGCATCGTACGAGGAGTCATAAACCACATCACCTGGAACACAATCATATATTCCTCTTTTCCTCTCAAACTCGAACTTCTGGAGCTTCATCCATCCTGAACCAAACTTTAGGAAGTCATGATGATTGATACCTTTGCAATTCTTCACTACAAGCTCTTCCAACGATCCATCCCTACCAAGGTATTCCAACCACTCTACACTGTCGATTCTCTCGCAATCAATAAGGTGGAGAGCAGATAGACTTGTACAACCAACTGCAACCGAGAGAAGCCCATATGATGTTATTTTTGGTGTGGAGTTCAGCCTGAGAGACACCAATGTCTTGCAATAAGCTAAACAACCAAGCCCAGAGTCATCAATGCATGAACAGAAGCTTAAGGTGAGGTCAGTCAGCGAGGAACAGTGAGATGAAAACACAGAAAGGCCTTTTTTGTCCAACTGCTTTCCATGTCCACGTATCCAACCAGAGTAATCGATTTCCACTTTCCGCAAATTTGGGAACCGGGCGCACAATGATGTCAGTGCTTTCGTAGCAGTGCAAAGACCGGAACCAACATGGATAGCACCCCTCTGATTCCCCTCTATCTTGTAGAGCTGTTTTGACACAAGGGAAAGAGAATTCAGATCACTTGTGCTGGTGATCCTCTTGAGAATCTCTGTCACCAGAGCCTCTGGTAGGTCCTCCATTGAGCAAATTCAGCTGTAGCAATCAGGTAATATATATCAAGGTTCAGAAAACAAGAAAGAGCTGGACTCAAACTTATGATATATCAGAATAATGCATGTGAAGATGGAGATGACAAGGGCGACACTCATTACGAAGAATATACTGATGAACTTTGAGCATTTTCTCTTGTGTGTTCTTCGTAACCATGGAGATTAATTAAAGTAGTAGCTAGCTAGCACCTTATCTGTCTCTAGATTGTTAGAAAGAAGAAATGACACTACATGCCACATCATTAAATTAAACTAGCACCATAAGTAGCAGAGCCTGGATAATGAACTAGCTATAAGAGAATACAAAGAAACGAGCTAGGATCGACGCAAGCAATTCTGCAAGAAGACCACGTGCTGAATCTGAACCAACTTATTTGGAGTGGAGGCACCTAATTTAATTAATAACATTAAAACCAGAGCATGCAGATTAGTACTTTTAGCTCTTGTTTGGGCAAGAAAGAAAGTAGGGAGATCATTTTGCCACAGCCGATGAGTTCACAGGGTGCAGTTATTATTAACAGATAATCTGTTCAACTAGAAATACTAGTATTTGCTGCAACCCTAGGCTAGTACTCAGTTGCAAAAAGCTTATTTTCTACTCCTACCTAGGCACTGGCGGAGCTTCGGCAAGGCCGAATGGGCCGTGGCCCGCCCAACATTTTGACATTTGTACACTAATTCATTTACTCCTAGGCCTTGAAACATCAGCCCACAGGCTACTTAATTCTATTTGTCCGATCAGCCCGCCCAACAATTTGCCTCAAGCTCCGCCACTGTACCTAGGAGAATGGATTTGCAACATTAACTAACTTTATTATGGATGCTACTACCGGTCGAGTTTCCCCTATCAATATCAAGAAAGCGAATCTAAAAGAGAGCGTGTACATGTCGAATGGGGGAACCAACGAACAGGGGAGGGGTCGGGTGAAGCTTAAAAATGGCGGTACCTTGAGCACGGCCGGGAGATAGCAACAGCAGCGACCGTGGGAGAGGAGGGTATCTCCGCCGCCGCTCGGCCTCGGTCCGCACCGGAGGAAATTGCTTCTCTCCTTCTTTGATTCGGGATCGGAGGAGAGTGTAAACCCTACTCTCGCTCACATCGCATTTCCTACCCAGAGCGGAGGAAGAGGAAGGAAGATGTGGGGCCGGCCTATTGCGAGCTGCAGCGGGCCGAGTCGAAAAAGCTTTGCCCACAGGCCGGTCCGAGAGGCACGGCCCATATGGCCAGCTCTGGGTGCGACTCATTTACAAGTACGAATTGTTTTTCCTTTTTATAAATCTCAAGCATACACTTATCTCGCAAATTTTATCTAACCGTTTGAAAAAATAATTAAATTTTTAATGCATTTAAAGAATGTCCATGCCCACGAAAACAGATTTTCATGTACTTATTAAAATGTCTAGCAACTTTTTAAAATGTTCCTGTATGCAATAAGAAATGTTCATGTGTGATGAAAAATGTTCACATGTATCAAAACAAATGTTTGCGTTTATGAAAAAGTGGACATGTATTTTCATAAATGATACTGTATGTAAAAATAAATTTTCATGTACATCAATAAGAATTACCTCATATTTCGAAAGGATTCTTACATGTGAAGGAAATATCTACTGCTACCTCCGTTCCTAAATTAAACTGTCTCAACATCTTATATTTAGGAATTGAGGTAGTAGTTAGTTGCCCGTGCGTTACAACACAGGCCATATATATTTTAATGGTTTAATATGAATCATGTCTAATTTATATAATATTGAGACACACATTAGACAGTGTTGTCTATTTAGTTTGTTTACTGTTAGATCAATCTTATTCTTCTTCCTTCATCTACTATCTTAGTTCCTTAACAATCTTATTCTTCTTCCTCCATCTACTATCTCAGTTTCTTATCAATCTTATTCTTCTTCCTCCATCTACTATCTCAGTTTCTCTACCTCTTTGATACAAGTGGCAATCATCATGCAGACTTCATTGGTGAGCCCATGGATTCGCCTCATCTCTGCATGTTGCTCTGGCGGCCGATGGTGGAGAGGGGAATCCCGGTGCCTTCGCTCGGTTAATAGTTTTGGTTCGATTTTTTAGTCTGCATATAGGTGCGACGCTCGGGAGGATGCATAGGTGCGACGCTCGGGAGGATGCTGGCGCTTCTTCGAGTTTGTCTTCCGGACTTTGATCCTGCCTGAGTTGGACACGTTGGACGTAGTCGACAGAGCTCCAACGTAGATTTTTGCCGCCTCCTTGGGACAGTGAGGTTCGAGTTTCTCGTCATGTGGCGAGATTTGGTGTCGGGTCCTTCAAATTCATATAAGGGTTCAACGGCGACGACTGCGGCTTCAGGACGTTGGTCTTTAGGGGCACATGCACGAGAACTTTTCGGCTGTCATTACAAGGTCAAGCCAGCTTCAGTAGAGGAGCAGCGACCGCGGCTCGTTCTGATGATTTTTTATAATAGATTTGATCATTTTTGCAAAAAAGAAAGTCACAATCACCATGCCAACACGAGAAAGGGAAAACCGAGATGGGACGAACGGAACTGCAATGGAGTCAGGGACTGACGGAAAGAAAAAGTGAGGAGAGGCTGCAAACAAATAAGGAGTGGAATAGGGAAGGAGCAAACGAGATTTTAAGAAGAGAAGAGATTTTGATATTCCCAGTAGTTCTTTCTCATCTCTATGAAGCAACGACTTATGGCCTTTTTCTTTACAAAAAACAGAAACTATATGCATGCGAGAACATTATTTTTATTTTTTTCTATGCATAATCTAGTTGCACTATCAAATTATTTTGCTCATGATTGCGGTAATTTCTGCAGCTGTTGAGAGTAACGGCGCAAGCAACACCATGCTTATAGATAAGACAGAGAAATAAACTGAACTGAGATTCTAAAGGAGCATTTTGTTGACTCTTCTCATATGAAGTTTGCGCGTGCTTTTTTAGGCCTCAGTTTCTGTACTCAAGGTAGTTCACGATGTGTCATGTATCCCATTCCGTTTACCTCACGATATACATTGTCAAGCTTAATGTGAGTGCTTGTCATCCTTGTCCTTGTTGGTAGCTCGACATCTTTTCTCCATCATGTGATCCAAATTCTAGAAACTGAGTTAACACTTAGCTCGCGCCGCATGGCCATACTTTCTGAATCTGGTCACTTGAGATGGCCCAAAGAATGTCGCTCCGAGTGGAGGGGAAATTTTCATCTCGGTCAACTATGCCACACAGCTTGCTTTCGACTAACCCCAAATCTATCATTGTAATTACTCGGTTACATAGTAGCATCTGATAAACCCAAGTAAGTCGACACACAGCTCAGGTCAAGGACCTCGAGTCTAAGGACACTGCATATACATTGTTTGAGACTAACAAATGACATAATTAAGCTTGTTGAGTCAGAAAGTGGGTTTGCTCAACTCACCCGAGTCAATATTGTCGGATTCGCATCACCATGCCAATGACTTGTGGAACACAATCATCAGTCAAGTTGTGCACAATACAACGATATGTGTGTCTCCATGACCTTGTAGACTAGGGACCATTAGAACAACATCATACCTTATATTTCACAACCAAATCACATATTTGGTGATACATATAATTGATGATGGTCATGGCAATATAAATAACTTATGAATACAATGGGAAATATCATCTTCACATAATTGCATCAAGGATACACTCCCATTTCCAACACTGTAGATGTCTTCGCCCTCGACGTCCTCACCAAAGTTGCTACTGTCGGTGGCGTTGGTGTGCTCAACCCCGTTGTCGTATTAAAATCGGTGATGGCCAATCTAGGGAGGGGTGCCAAGGGCGAGGCTTGAACACACCACAGAGACCGGTGAGCTTCCCCGAAGCACGTCCAACTCACGATTGAGTAGGTCCATCTCCATGATGTCAGGTCGGGGGGGAAGAGGAACTCCGAGTGGAGGATCCATCATTGCAACCAGCAGGTAGTGAAAATAGTTAGGGGGAGAAAGTGGAGTTGTAGAGGGGGTGAGAGAGGAATTATTGCGAGGACATAATGTCTCCCGCGCTTCTCCATGCATGACGCATGTGCAACTGTATGCCACAATGTGCCCGTGCAGAGATCTTGATCACTGAAATGACCGACCAAACACCCCAGTTTTGCATCTCGCGGAGCTGGTTGCGGTAGATGTGGGCAAACCAAACACACCTAAATTTCTTTTATATTCGGTTTTTTCCGGACAAGCTCCTCAGTCAAGCCAACATAATAGCTAAACACTCTCAGCTAATTACAAACAAAAGCAAACTATGCAAATATCAATGTTTCAAATAGCAGGCTATGCCAAATAGGGGTGGCCCTCCAAATCAGCTATAGCGAGGCTATAGACCGCCATAACCGGCTATTTCGTAAGTTTAGAGGGCTATGCCATATAGCGGCACCTGTTCAAACAACTATAGCCCCGCTATAGCCGGCTATTTAAAATTTTGGTAAATATTCCGTGATCAGGGCCTGCAGCAGGAGCTAATGTTAAAAATAAAAAAATCTCACTTTTTTTAACAAGGGGAAGGCCCATGTTTCATGTTACCTCAAGTAGTATAAAGTACCACACAAAGTACATAGCCAGCTACTGTAATTAGCACATAACAAAATGTTGCTGAGTGATGGATGTCCAGAGCAAAAGACATGATGTGACTACCTGTAATTAGCTCCATCCATTCTGATGAATAAGAAGTATTTCGTTTCGCTAAGACAACAATTTGACCAACGATTACTCTTTTAATATTTGAATTATGTGATAACAAAGTATTTTTAAATACGAATCTAGTGACACAAATTTCATGTCATATAACTTTGTCTTTATAGAGTAATTATTGGTCGAATACATGTCTTAACTAAACAAAAATATGCCTTAGTTTTAGGAATGGAGTATGTTATATGCCTTCAGTAGTCGCTTAAGTTTCAGTCGTTCATGATTGACTAGTGACTTTCAGTATTCTTTTGAGAAGATATGAAAGACATCCTCCAATAGAGTTGATATCAACAAAACAAGCATGCCGCCTTTGTACATGTCCATCGAAACTTGGCCTATTATTACTAAATTGATCCATACCAAAATTGCCACACGAACATATCAGGCAGACATATGTCTTCAAAATCACCTCTGCGATAAAAAAAAGGTTTCGTGACATTTGCTTAAATAACACCAAACGGACATATAGTGCCTCCACAGTAAACAGGGACTCTTGGGGCCTACTTATGCCGGTTTTGAAACGGCTACAGAGAGTAGAAATTAAACAACCAGAATTACGGTTGCAGTTGCTGTCCAGAATTCATCATTAGACTGTCATAAAGAAAAATCATTGCAGTAGAGGTAGAAGGTAACAAAAAGTTCAGAGAAGAGAGTCTGGGTCGGATGATGCACTGCCTTGTCCAATGGTGCACAGTCAAAAACTTAATGACTTCACTAGCAATTTTATACTGAAAATTTTGGCGACCACTTCATCAACACTGGCCCAAAAATCCAAGTTTCTTCTTCAGGGCATCTGAAAACTTGCTGGAGTAGTGAACTGACTTGATTACACCTTGCGCAGCTTGCAGAGAGATCTCACTGCAATACTCAATGACCAAAGACTCTAACTTATGTGCACGTCCCAGTTCAGCCATTCCAACATCAGTAACGTTATGACACGCCCGAAGTATGAGATTACTCAAGCATGGGGTGTGCGCAATGAAGCACATCCCAGCATCAGTTACCGCATGACACAATATAAGCTCGAGTGTTTCCAGAGGATGAGACGGCCTTCATCCCCTCGTCATCAAAGAAGTTGGCGTTGTTTAGCACGAGAACACGAATTGGGCAGGACTGAATGAGTGTCAGAAAACCCTTCTGTGTGAATCCTATTTCTGATGGCCAGTCACGGGAACACCGTGTAAATCTGAGGTCTACGGTCTGAAGCATAGGACAGTTGAGGGCTATAGCATAAAGGCTGTTATCAATAAATGACGTCCTGGTTTCACAATAGCTGACATCACTAGAGTAGCGCTGCAGGTTGAGCCAAAGTAAGATGCTTTTAAGGTTGCTGCAGCTCCGAGATAATGCAATCATGTCATTGTCATTTAGGACATGAACATACTCAAGGCAAAGCTTCTCCAATGCTTTACACTTCCCTAGAACAACACGAAGTCCTACTTCTGGCCAAGTTTTAATATGCGCCAACCTCAAATCCTTCAAACTCTCACAGCAGAAATCATATATATCCATGTTGTGAGCATCGTATGAGGAGTCATAGACCATATCACCTAAAAGACGATCATCCATTCCTCTTTTCCTCTCAAACTCAAACTTCTGGAGCTTCATCCATCCTGAACCAAACTTTAGGAAGTCATGATGATTGAGTCCTTTGCAATTCTTCACTACAAGATCTTGCAACGATCCATCCCTACCAAGGTATTCGAGCCACTCTACACTGTCGATTTTCTCGCAATCAATAAGGTGGAGGGCAGATAGACTTGTGCAACCAACTGCAACCAAGAAAAGCCCAATTGATATTATTTTTGGTGTGGAGTTCAGCCTGAGAGACACCAATTTCTTGCAGTGCGCTAAACAGCCAAGCCCAGAGTCTTCGATGTGTGAGCAGAAGCTTAAGGTGAGGTCAGTTAGCGAGGAACAGTGAGATGAAATCACAGAAAGGCCTGTGTTGTCCAACTGATTTCCATGTTCAGGTATCCAACCAGAGTAATCGATTTCCAATTTCTGCAAATTTGTGAACCTGGCGCACAGTGATGTCAGTGCTTCTGTAGCAGTGCAAAGACCAGAACCAACACGGATAGAACCCCTTTGATTCCCCTCTATCTTGTAGAGCTGCTTTGACACAGGGGAAAGAGAATTCAGATCACTTGTGCTGGTGATCCTCTTGAGAATCTCTGTCACCAGAGCCTCCGGTAGGTCCTCCATTGAACAAATTCAGCTGTAGAAATCAGCTAATATATATCAAGGTTCAGAAAACAAGCGAAGAGCTGGACTCAAACATATGATATTAAAACCATTAAGCTACGCGTGAAGGGCGGCCAACCAGCTATGCCATGTGGCGCAAACTGGTTGGCCGCGGTGGGAAATCTTTTGCAGAATTTTTTAGATGAAGCTGTGGATTATTCTTAAATGTATTCTTTTTTAGATGGAGATGGGGACCTCTGGTATTTTTTAAATGCAGGTTATGCAAAGTGGCACTCGCTGATAGGCTGGTTTGGTAAATTTTTATTTTTTACTTCTTTTTTAGATGAAGGTGAGAATTTTTTTTAGACGGAGGCGAGGACTCTATGTATTTTTTTAATGAAAACATGCACACAGCTTCCTCTCAAGCGGCGCCACAGGGTGGTGCCCCAAGCACTAGTATCAGAACAATGCATGTCACGACGAAGATCACACTGGCAATAGACACTCATTACGAAGAATATACAGTGCTGATGAAGTTTGAGCATTTTCTGTATCCGTCCAAAACTTATGTGTTCTTCAGTACATAGCACCTTATCTGTCTCTAGACTGTTAAAAAGGAAAAATGACGCTACATGTCACATCATTAAATTAAACTAGCACCATAAGTAGCAGAGAACTAACTAAGATAATACTGCAAAGAAACGAGCTAGGATCGACGCAAGCAATTCCGCAAGAAGACCACGTGCTGAATTTGAACCAACTTGCTTGGAGGCACCTGATTAATAACATGAAAACCAGAGCATGCAAATTATAACTTGTAGCTCTTGCTTGGGCAAGAAAGAAAGTAGGGAAAATCATTTTGCCACAGCCGATGAGTTCACAGGGTGCAATTATTAATAGATAACGCCAATCTAAATATCTAATATATGTTCAACTGGAAATAGTACTATCTGCTGCAACCCTGGTTAGTACTCCTACCTAGTTCCAAAATGCTTACTTTCTATACTACCCAGGAGGATGGTTTGACAACATTAACTAACTTTATTTATGGATGATACTACCAGTCGGGTTTTCCCTGTCAAGAAAGCGAATTGAAAAAAAAGCAGTGTACATGTCGAATCGGGGAACCAACGAACAGGGGAGGGATCAGGGGAAGCTGAAAACGGCAGTACCTTGAGCACGACCGGGAGATAGGAACACCGGCGATGGAGAATGGAGGCCGTAGGGGAGGAGAGGAGGGTATCTCCGCCCCTGCTCCACCTCCGTCCGCGGTGGAGGAGAGTGCTTCTCTCCTTTGATTCGGATCGGAGAAGAGTGTAAACCCCCCGCTCGCATCGCATTTCGTCTCTTTTTCAGCGGAGGAAGCGGAGGAAGATGTCGGGCCGGCCTGTTCTGCAGCGAGCCGAGTCGAAAAAGCTTGCCCATACCCCGCAAAAAAAAAAACTTGCCCATGGGCCGGTCCGAGAGCCACGACCCATATGACCAGCTCTGGGTGCAACTCATTTACAAGTACGAATTCCCTCAAAAACAATTACAAGTATGAATTGTTTTTCCTTTTTTATAAATCTCAAAAATACATCTGTCTCACAAATTTTATATAATCGTTTCAAAAAATAATTAAATTTTAAGGCAATGTAAAGTATGTCCATGTCCACGAAAACAATTTTTCATGTACTTATTAAAATATCTAGCAGTATTTTTAAATGTTCATGTATGTGAAAAGAAATGTTCACATGCATTTTCATAAATGTTCTTGTATGTAAAAATAAATGTTCATGTACATCAATAAGAATTACCTCATATTTCAGAAGGATTCTTACATGTGAAGGAAATATTCATTGATACGTGTCCAACGTATCTATAATTTTTTTCCATGCTATTATATTATCAACCTATGCATTACTATGCTATTTTATATGATTTTTGGGACTAACCTATTAACCTAGAGCCCACTGCCAGTTTTTGTTTTTTTCCTTGTTTTTAAGTATCGCAGAAAAGGAAAATTAAACGGAGTCCAATTGACCTGAAACTTCACGGAGATCATTTTTGGACCAGAAGAAGCCCACGGAGTACCGGAGGTGGGCCAGAAGAGCCTCGTGGGCCCCTCGTGGCTTCCCTGACCGACTTCTTTCGCCTATATATGTCCATATACCCTAAAACATCGGGGATCACAATAGATCGGGAGTTCCGCCGCCAGAAGCCTCCGTAGCCACCGAAAACCAATCTAGACCCGTTCCGGCACCCTGCCGGAGGGAGGAATCCCTCTTCGGTGGCCACCTTCATCATCTCGGCGCTCTCCATGACGAGGAGGGAGTAGTTCACCCTCGGGGCTGAGGGTATGTACCAGTAGCTATGTGTTTAATCTCTCTCTCTCTCTCTCTCTCTCTCTCTCGTGTTTTTGAGGTGGTACGGTCTTGATGTATCATGAGCTTTGCTATTATAGTTGAATCTTATGATGTTTCTCCCCCTCTACTCTCTTGTGATGAATTGAGTTTTCCCTTTGAAGTTATCTTATCGGATTGAGTCTTTAAGGATTTGAGAACACTTATGTATGTCTTGCATGTGCTTATCTGTGGTGACAATGGGATATCACATGATCCACTTGATGTATGTTTTGGTGATCAACTTGCGAGTTTCGTGACCTCGTGAACTTATGCATAGGGGTTGGCACACGTTTTCGTCTTGACTCTCCGGTAGAAACTTTGGGGCACTCTTTGAAGTTCTTTGTGTTGGTTGAATAGATGAATCTGAGATTGTGTGATGCATATCGCATAATCATACCCATGGATACTTGAGGTGACATTGGTGAAGGAAATATGCCCTAGAGGCAATAATAATGTTATTATTTTATTTCCTTATATCATGATAAATGTTTATTATTCATGCTAGAATTGTATTATCCGGAAACATAATACTTGTGTGAATACATAGACAAACTAAACGTCACTAGTATGCCTCTACTTAACTAGCTCATTAATCAAAGATGGTTATGTTTCCTAACCATAGACATGTGTTGTCATTTGATTAACAGGATCACATTATTAGGAGAATGATGTGATTGACATGACCCATTCCATTAGCTTAGCACCCGATCGTTTAGTATGTTGCTATTGCTTTCTTCATGACTTATACATGTTCCTATGACTATGAGATTATGCAACTCCCGTTTGCCGGAGGAACACTTTGTGTGCTACCAAACGTCACAGCGTAACTGGGTGATTATAAAGGAGCTCTACAGGTGTCTCCAAAGGTAAATGTTGGGTTGGCGTATTTCGAGATTAGGATTTGTCACTCCGATTGTCGGAGAGGTATCTCTGGGCCCTCTCGGTAATGCACATCACATAAGCCTTGCAAGCATTGCAACTAATGAGTTAGTTGCGAGATGATGTATTACGAAACGAGTAAAGAGACTTGCCGGTAACGAGATTGAACTAGGTATTGAGATACCGACGATCGAATCTCGGGCAAGTAACATACCGATGACAAAGGGAACAACGTATGTTGTTATGCGGTCTGACCGATAAAGATCTTCGTAGAATATGTAGGAGCCAATATGAGCATCCAGGTTCCTCTATTGGTTATTGACAGGAGACATGTCTTGGTCATGTCTACATTGTTCTCGAACCCGTAGGGTCCGCACGCTTAAGGTTTCGATGACAGTTATATTATGAGTTTTGATGTACCGAAGTTAGTTTGGAGTCCCGGATGTGATCACGGACATAACGAGGAGTCTCGAAATGGTCGAGACATAAAGATTGATATATTGGACAGCTATATTCGGAGACCAGAAGTGTTCCGGGTGATTTCAGAGAAAATCGGAGTACCGGAGGGTTACCGGAACCCCCCGGGAGAAGTAATGGGCCATATGGGCCTTAGTGTAGAAAGAGAAGGGCAGCCAGGGTGGGCCGCGCGCCTCCTCCCCCTGGTCCAAATTGGACTAGGAGAGGGGGGGCGGCGCCCCCCTTTCCTTCTCCCTCCCCACTTCCTTCCCCCTCCTAGTAGGAGTCCTACTACTAGGAGGACTCCTCCTTGGCGCGCCTATAGGGCCGGCCGGCCTCCTCCCCTTGCTCCTTTATATACGGGGGCAGGGGCACCCCTAGACACACAAGTTGATCTTCGTGATCGTTCTCTTAGCCGTGTGCGGTGCCCCCTTCCACCATAATCCTCGATAATATTGTAGCAGTGCTTAGGCGAAGCGCTGCAACGGTAGAACATCAAGATCGTCACCACGCCGTCGTTCTGACGGAACTCTTCCCCGACACTTTGCTGGATCGGAGTCCGGGGATCGTCATCGAGCTGAACGTGTGCTAGAACTCGGAGGTGCCGTAGTTTTGGTGCTTGATCGGTCAGCCGTCAAGACGTACGACTACATCAACCGCGTTGTCATAACGCTTCCGTTGTCGGTCTACAAGGGTATGTAGATCACACTCTCCCCTCTCGTTGCTATGCATCACCATGATCTTGCGTGTGCGTAGGAAATTTTTTGAAATTACTATGTTCCCCAACAATTGGAGTATCTAGGTGACATTAGGGTTTTGGTTGATTTGTGTCTTAAGGTGTTACTCTAGTACGAACTCTATGATAGATTGAACGGAAAGAATAGCTTCATGTTATTTTACTATGGACTCTTGAATAGATCGATCAGAAAGGATAACTTTGAGGTGGTTTCATACCCTACCATAATCTCTTCGTTTGTTCTCCGCTATTAGGGACTTTGGAGTGACTCTTTGTTGCATGTTGAGGGATAGTTATATGATCCAATTATGTTATTATTGTTGAGAGAACTTGCACTAGTGAAAGTATGAACCCTAGGCCTTGTTTCCATGCATTGCAATACCATTTTCGCTCACTTTTATCATTAGTTACCTTGCTGTTTTTATATTTTCAGATTACAAAAACCTTTATCTACCATCCATATTGCACTTGTATCACCCTATTCACTGAACTAGTGCATCTATACAATTTACCATTGTATTGGGTGTGTTGGGGACACAAGAGACTCTTTGTTATTTGGTTGCAGG